AAATAATGAAAAGTTATAATTTTTAATTCCATCTAATTACCCATTAAATCATTATTAAAAAATTCGCGTATAAATATTGAAAACATGAATGTTACTCCATGGATGTAGAGATTGAAAAATAATTTATAGCGCTATTATCCAGAAAATAGCAATGTTTTACATTACATGTTTTACAAAACATTATCTTGTTTCATGCAGTGGCATTTCTCTTTAAAAATTTGTTTACCTTTTCGAAGCAATTTGAATATAGATACTCAGCAGCTAGATTTTTGATTTATTAATGAATATTACGTTCTATAATTTCGATGAAAAAATAAATAATCCTAAAAAAATAAGGCATATTCATATAATATAATATGTTTAATACATATAATACGTTTTAATACAAATAATTATTGAGAAAGATTTGAATTTATTAATTAATAAATTTAGATCTGTGAAAATGAAATCTTAATGTCTACTGAGAAAAATGTCCATTCGTTACCGATGAAAAGGTAACAAATGGATATTATACCGATCACTTTAATCGGAAGTTGCGAATTTTGAACTTTCTGATCAGATATCCGATCGATCGATATTTTCTGATTGGATATCTGACCGGTTTCTTTTTTTTCGATTAAAGTGGTCGGTATAATATTCGTTCGTTACCTTTTCACCGGATATTTTTCTCAGTGTATGTTTAAAAATCATTTTCAAGCATAAATCACGAAATAAAACTACGCAGATTGCTTCTCATACGATTTTCTACGCTGAACGATCACATAAAAACATGAAGAAGGAGGAAACTATAAGCAAGATTATGTGATGTTGTTGCTTAAGTGTCGTAAATTGTGTCCTAGAAGATATATCTTTCGTAATGCGCGACCGTCGTGGAATAATCAACAGAGATGGAAGCCTATCATGCCGGATGCGAAGAGGCGCGGTCCTTTCACTCTCGAGGGTGTACGATTCTATATTATATGCGTTTCCCAGAAGAATTTATTCACAAAGTATTATAAGATCGTCCCATTTTTACGATCAAGGTCAATTCAGAGAGAATTTCTCGTATAAATATCAGGGAAAACTTCTCACCAATATGGATCATATATTAACAAAATATAAGTTATGTATAAAGAGAGACATTTTCATTTTCTTGAAGAATAAATAAAATTTATGAGAAAAAAATATTTATACTCTCTTAGATAAAGAGAAAAAAAAGAGAGAAAGGGATCTCAAACAGTCTTGAATATTTCAAGCGCAGTTACAAAACTTTTAATTACCCTTATAATTAATTACAGTAATCTCTCTCCTTTTTTTTAAAAAAAGAGCTGAACTTCGGCAACATTTTATACTTCTCATGGTCTCACGCAGAGCGGCGAGTAGGTTACATGCTCCTATAAACATTGCTATGCATTGCATCTGTATTGCGCTGCAGACAATGACTGCAAATGTCAGTCTCACCATTAGCATTGATCACGCTCAATCGCGGCGGGGCAACCGTACCACCTTCAACCGCTTCATGTACGCTTCAAGTACGAATTTTCAGAACGTGATGCTACGAATGAAGTCGTACAGCGGTGCAACGCTTTGTGAAACATTTACAGACATGTAGCGTTTTACAACGCAATTAAAGAGGAAAGGAGCATGCTTATAAAGGTCGAATTTCCGATTTCTTTTTCGCGAATACCCACGTTCGCTCCCTATTCGTTTAATAACGCGTTTAAAGCATCTCTTTAACTTGCTTTGTGCTTTGTGTTTTGAAAATCATCTTGTGTACATTTTTAAACTTGTATATCAATTGAATAATTTGATTTTGGAAAAGAGAAAGAGAGAAACAATTCTATCTTGAGATCTCAGCTATATATTGTCTTGAATAATTATATTCACAAGAAATGTAAAAATTATGTTATAGTATCTTCGATATTGATCTGACACTAAAATGCTATTATTAAAAATGGATAAGATTTGAATTTATATAAAAAATGTTTAAATAAATCTTAAAACAAAGAGGGCGAAAAAAATTGCTATAGGTTTATTGCTAAAATTTTTTTAACTCAAGATTAAACTTCATTTATACTTTAAAATAAGATCTATGACATAAATTATGAGTATGCAAATTTCCAAGTGGATCAAGTTAATGTTTAATTTTCGCTCTTATAAAAATTTTAATTTTTCGCTTATAAAAAATACTTATTTACCGACCATTTTCTCTGAAGCAGCAACTCATCTGGAAACTTACATATTCGTAATTTATGCTTGAAACTTTTTAAGCGAAAAATGAAATCCAAACTTTTTATTTTACATTTTTATAACATTTTTATATATATTGTATATAAATATTATTAAAAAATAAATATCATTAAAAAACTAATTTAGAAGAAAATAATAGATATATATATATATAACATTACAAGATAAAATGATAACATCGCAGAAGAGATTCTTTATATGCGAGAAATATTTCTTTTCCTAGAAATGTGAAAATCCAGAACTCTCACGGTCTTTTTCGTAATTGTGACCAGAAACGTGATGTTCGCGTGGAATTAGAGCGTTCAAGAGATCGCGTCTTTCATCGTGCCCATTAAAGGTCGAATGCGCGATGTCGGCTGGCTTCATCGGTTATATATCGTGCGCATTGAAGAACACATTAATTCCTGAGAGCGCGGCTCTTTCCCAGCCAGCTCGCGTCTCGATTCACCTTGCGCATCTTGCATAAATTGCAACCTAGAACTTCGTCATATTACAAGCTGCTGCATTTATGACAAGATGCATATAAGATCTCTCTTCCCCTCTTTTCTCTCTCTCTCTCTCTCTCTCTCTCTCTCTCTCTCTCTTTCTCATATTTTAAAATATAGAATTATTATCTCGAAAATATGCAATAACGCTCCGAATAGAAAATTTAATTAATCATGATTGAAGTATGTGAAACAATTAGTATTGTGAAAGATTGTTTAGCAATTTTATTGTCGAATATTTATCTTTGTATATTAAAGACGTAAACTTATTTTTTAATATATATACATTGAACACAAACTTTATTTATTGACCTAAGTGTAATCAAACGACTACATAAATAGATATGCAATCTCACGAATGTGGTTCTCATAATTACCATATATAATCAAATTTACTTTGCATGAAATCGTCCTCATCATTATGTATAACGTTGCAGAATGTATAATTAAATTATACATGCACGATATACGCATATAACACGAGAATTAATTCTCCATATTTCAATAAGCTTGCACATATTATAGTATTTCTTAGTGATTTTAAATTTAATGAACTCAATTACGCACAAATCTTTTTAAATTTATTAGAGATATATCAACGAGTTTATAGAACACCTTGTATATAATCTGTAATCTTTGGGGTTAAGGCTCGATTGCCCTTCTCTCGAATGACTCAATCGCCCGATTGACCTATCCTGCTACGTGGTCACGCAATTCAGATTCAAAATCCAAGTAGCGGATTTTCTTCAAAGAAGTATATTATTCTCAATTTGATGAAAATTGCCAATTTTCTCTGATTATAACTGATTTGTTACGGGAGATGATGTAAGGCATATCGCTTTGTTTCTACGACACGGTTATGCAACTCGCAGAGTATGCCGCGGAATGAGAGCAAGTTAATATGTGTAAGTCTTGTCAATAGTTTACTTTGAATGGAACGATATAATTATTGCAAATATTCGGAAAGCCCGAAAAAACGCGTGCAAAATTACAATTTCAGTGAGTTTTATAGAAGAAAACTATTTTTTTTATTAAATGATTTATGTGCATCGTTCTTTCTAATTGAAAATATGACTCGATGACTTCTAAAAATTTCTTTCTTAAAATACAGTATGAAACAAAACATGTCAAGCAATTTGTTTACAATTTGTTTTGGAAATTTATGCATGACAGCTGATATTTTGAAAACTAATTTTCACCGCTATTTATCTTCCGCCTAGATATGGAAATCGACGAATTTTCATGCAAGAGACATCATTTTTCGAAGCTCTGGCGCCAAATGAATTCATTTTAACTTTTTCCTAGAATTTCCTTCATGGAAGTCGTATTCGAGGAACCAACGTTGTCGAGTGTGACTATGTAAAATGCTAATTATTGTATAATTCACAGAATTCCATTGCAGACGTAAGCATGATTTGAAAGATTAAATTGGATGATCTCAATTAAAACAACTTCACTTGTAACAAGAAAATATGAAAACCTGTTGAACAGATATTTATTTGTATAGCCAACTTCTTTATTCGTTAAAAATAAAAGAGATTTTAAAAAAAGATATAAATGTCACTGCGACAACTTTCGTAACAAAGAAAAGTGTGAAAGATTTATTCAGCAACATATAGATGTGTATAGAATGAAGTACATATGTAAGAAGATAAAATGTTTTCTCTTTTGAAGAATAATGAATTTCTTCTTTGAAGAAGAAAAAAAAAGATTAAAAATTATATAATTCAGAAAAATAATTGATATTATTAAAAAAATTAGAATCAAGTTTCTTTGTCTTTTATACTTCCATGGTCCTTTTAAAAATAAGAGAAATACACTCCACATATATATTTTTTTTAAGTATATCAATCTACACAGATCGATCCAAACGAAAAAAAATAAAGAAAATTATATTTATTTCAGATATATCAGTCAATTAAAAAAATATTTCAATCATAACTATTTGATATATGTCTCGAATTTCGAAACATTCATTGCAAAGTAAACTGAACGGAATGCCTGCAATTATGTTTAATTAGTGAGTTTAAACGTGCTCTTTACGGATTAGTTAAAGGAGGTTGTTTCTGAAATTTCTAAGCCAGAGGTTCTAGTTCCTGGCGTGGGTCATGTAAAGGGTCCGAAGAGGGGTGGGTGTGTCGGATGGTGACCTTCTTACACAATGAACGAGAGACCATCGTCAACGGATATGATTCGAAGGGATCAAGCGCGGGCGCGGTCGCGGAGATCCTGGGAGACGTATATATAAAGTCTGCCGAAGTCGACCGTAGGCACATTCAAGCATTCCCGGTCGACACGATGAAGACCCTCGTAAGTATTCGTCTCGATGGTCAGAAGTGCGCGACTCTCTCTTTTTCTTTGTTACCTAAACAATCAACGTGTCGCGATCGGGTCTATTGTGCCTTTTAGCGAGACAATAGAGTGAGATGATAGTAACAAATGTGTCGAGTACTTGTCTATCGAGAGATTTTGCGATAACTGAATAACATTATTCAATAAATTGAAAGGAATTAGGCTCTATATATACTTAAACAACACGATAAGAAAATAGCGAATAAGAGCCACCACGGATGGTAATGCGTAAATTTTTCTTAAAGATTAATTGCTCGCGAAAATCTCTTCAGGAGGGTAAAGAGGGTTTATAGAATTTTCAAAATTGAGAATCTATATCTTGATTAATGCGTAAATTTTTCTTAAAGATTAATTGCTCGCGAAAATCTCTTTAGGGAGGTAAAGAGGGTTTATAGAATTCTCAAAATTGAGAATCTATATATCTATATCTTGATAAATCTATATCTATATCTATATCTTGATAAATGTACCAAGTAAAACATATGCATATGCCTCGTGCACATTTAAATTTTCGCGAACAATTAATCTTTACGCATTACCATCCGCGGTGGCTCTTATTCTAGTTTCTTAACATTATTCAAGATTCGAAAACAATTCCACACGATCATTCGATGCTTTAAGTAATTCATATGATATATATCATATGAATCAAAACTATATATATGTAAATATAGCTTCGAAGTTAAAACGTATATTTCCTCAAAAGCTCTTTTTGCTTCAATAGAAATGCAATGCTGAAATAAATCCTGCGTAATTTATTGCTGCACTTACCTGAATTGAGATTTTGCATCTTCAGTTCATCTCACTCGCCCTATGCGCCGTGGTTGCTGCTGCACCTCGTGAAAAACGAGAAGCTATCTTGAGCGGTCACGGATTTTATGGGGGTGGTCATGGAGCTTATGGGGGTGGTCATGGAGCTTATGGGGGTGGCCATGGAGCTTATGGGAGCCACGGAGCTTATGGCGCTTATGGGGCTTACGGAGGTATAGCGGGCGGAGGTATAGCGGGCGGAGGTATAGCGGGTTATGGCGGACACGGAGTTGCTATTGCTGGACCATTGCTGGGAGCGACGAGCGTCGTGGGTCCACACGTAGGTGCTACCGCCGTTTCCGCTCCGTCAATAGGTCCGGCTCGATTATCCGGATCGATTGCTGGTCCTGCTCATGTATCAGGCGCCGTGGCTGGTCCAGCTGTTGTGACCCCGTCAGTCGCTGGTCCTGCGCACGTGGGAGGCGGATACGGTGGATACGGTGGATACGGTGGCGCGTTCGATGGTGCCTATGGTGGAGGTGATCATGTCGGTAAGTAATAATAAGGATTATACTCTTGAAATATTTTACTCTGTGTGATAGATTTATAGTATAAAAGCTTCTCTACTGAAAAACTTCAAATGCCTATGTACAAGATGTAACATCTTAAAGATTCGAAAAATAAGTCTTAAGATTTGTAAAAATATATAAAGTAAATAATGTTGCATAAATATAATAGAAAAAATATTTTAGGCATCATTATATTATTTTATACATAAGAAACAATTTCTACAAATTTCCAAAATTTATTTTTACACACTTATGAATATGTCTTAAAGTATGAAACAAAAAATTTACTTTTAAACGATTCTATGTCCGATTCTGATTCGTTTTACCACCTATTTTCTTCTATTAGCCGCAGGAGGTTACGGAGGATATGCAGCTGGTCCTGCTTACGGTTACGCAGGATACGCCGGTGGTCACGGAGGGCACGGAGGGCACGGAGTGGTTGTAGCCGGACCGGCCAGCCATGGTGTGGTCCTAGCCGGACCTCATTCCGGAAGCGCGGCTGTTTCTGGACCGCACGCTGGTTCGGTGGTGATTGCCGGTCCTTCCGGTAAGATTACAGCTCACGGAAGTGGTTACGGTGCTGGCATCCATGCCGGACTCGGCCATGGCCACGGCCACTGGTAAACGCGCGTCAAACAAACGTCCCTGTGAAACGCAAAAAAAAGAAGAAGAAAACGAGCAAAAAGACCGCCCTCCCGAATCTCACATCGTCGCGCCAAAAATAGAAAATCGTCCCCTCGATACCTTTTTCAAAGGGAAGCCTAAACTATAAATATTTAAAGTTGCTATGTATAACACGACGTCGTTCGTCGCGCTTAATATTTTTTCATGGATACTTATGTCTTCTGTGTGTATGAATGGAATAAATTCGCTTTCTTCTTTGAAAGGAGGCATTTGTAGTATAAAATATTCAGAATAGTTATTTATTTTAACCCGTGTCTCAAATCTGATCTCCGATCTATCGAATTCACGAATCTTATTATCATATCTCTTTATTACGTATCCTTAAACCTTATTTATAAGCACAATTATTTATGATGAACGCGATGAAATCGACATATAGGATTAGAAAGAGCATTGCTTCAATAAAGTTTCCTGAAATTTCCCTGTGCAAAATCGTACGGAAGCCTTGCGCGTTAAGTCAGATTGTCTTTCGCAAATTGTCGTGACAACGGCTTATTAACCCCGACCCGATCTTTATCGGTGAAACTCGAATTATCCATGATGAAAGCGACTATCGATCACATCCGGTGGGGTAAAAATCTTGAATAATTGTTTACTACTTGAGCAAACTATTACTACAGAAAATTTTATAGTTGAAAATAAGTACAGTAGCGTCTTGCAAGCTAATCTTATGTAGGAAGCGTATTCATACTTGAATAAAAAAGTTAAATATAGCTTGTAAATTATACTAAAATCATACGCACATGCATTAGACTTTTTTCAACTCATTTTTTAGTTTATCTTTTTAATATGTTGCACTCATCAGATTTTAGTCTGCTCGAATTTAACGATGAAAATATGATATAATTTATCAAAATAACTAAATATCTGAAATCTACCTTTTATCAATCTTCACTCGCAATTTACATTACGTGTATTACTATACAAACGATTTATTAAACTCGGAACTCTTCATTTTACTAGCTTTCCTGCATTTGCCTATCTTCGAATTTATGTCGTTATTTTTCAGCGTAAAAATCGTTGGCGCAAAAACAATCGTTCATGTTTCGCTTGATTGGTCAGCACGATCGTTTATTTCACACATATTCGACATAGATCGATCATTATCGACGATTCGTGTCGCTCGATAGTAGATAACTCGCGTTATTCATCGAATGCTCGCTAAGCGCAAAAAATCATAATCGGACAGACTAACATAAATCTAGCCTTAATGCAATGCGTCGTTGATAAAGGATAAGATTATCAAGAGCGTGACTCGAAGCGGATACCATTCGGCGCAATCCGTCATTTGCAAACTAACAATAAGCATGAAAAGTCACAAGTGGAGAAAAAACTAGATAATAAAATTATGTCTCTGAAGCAGCGTCTAAATTTAATATTTTATGGATACAAATTTTGAAATGAAAAATGTAATCAAATATTTATTTAATTAATTTGTGATATCGTGCATCAAAATTATATAATTAATATATTACAAATTACAACAGCGTATCTAAATGTATTAATTACACTAACGTAATCTTATATTTTTAATTTAATAATACTCGTTATTATTAATACAGTATTTGCTTCTGCTATGATATATTTTTGCGATTAAAATAAAACATACGTCTAAAATTATAATTTGTCAGAATAAAATGTATAGTTTTTATACGATCGACTCATAAATTTTTACAAGCAAGGCTCGATAACGAATTACGAGGATGAGAATCGAATATCAAGAAGGTATCCCTTCGATATATTTGAGTATCGGCGAGCAACTAGCGAGTAATTTATATAGGATTTGTGCAAAGCCGAATATATAAAACGCGATTTATATCTATTACATGCGTACATGTGTAGTTTGTCACGCGACTCTCTAACAATCGCCGGACCGACGCGCATGGATGTTTAATCTCGGATTTTCATGTGTCTGTTTTTGTTCTCTTTCTCTCTTCTTTTGGACAATAGATCACTATCGGAAAAAAATGAGATATGTCATGCCGTGCTCTATTCGCGATGCACACTCTCGGAATATCGAGCGATTCGTTAAGTGCGGCCTTAGCCCTATGGGAAAATCGTGGCCCGAGCCGCATCTCGGCCGAGATAGCGATGACGACTACGTAATCTCGCGATGTTTCATCATCGCGATGGTGGAACTGCATTGTGAGAATGCACCGAACCTTCACAAATTCCGAAAGGTCACCCGTTTGTAATCGGTTGCCCATCGTTGCGAATAAGGCACAAACTGAGCAACAGGCTGCACCAGGGAGGCTGCATTCGCGTTTTCACGATGAATGCGTGGATACGCGCATTCAAGCGCGGATGTTAATTACTGTACGTCGACAGTGGGCGATAATCGATCGCGAATTAGAACGGGCGTCCGTTCATGCAGGCGGTAAGTTGACGTACGATCATAACCGTGAGAAATTTCCGTTCCATTGTGCACTTTTAAGTTTCCAAGATTTATTTAGCAGTAAGCACTATTAAAAAATTATGGAAAATAATATTCTAAAACGTGTTATGATAGAATATCATGTAAAATAAAATAAATTTTCCTATTGTTTTATTTACGAATAGATTTAGCAATATGAAAGATCGAGAAAAGTTTCAAAATAAATATTATATATACATATAAATGAGTTATTTTAAAAATTACCGGTAATATATAATTTTATTTTATTATTTAAATCATTATTTAAATCATCATGTTATTTATGCATAAAAAGAATTTATTTGATCTCATTTCTTATCAATTATAATGTTTATATTTTTGAGCTTATTATAATTTAATAATATTAATTATATGAACATAAAATACACATTTTAAAAGAGATATAAATTCATACGTATACTATTTAATATAATTCATATGTTTATTACTTAAAATAATTAAATTATATTGCTTATAGTTATAAATATTATATATAATAATTGATTACATCTACGTGTATAATATAATTAATGAGGTAGATATGTAGAATGGAGATAGATAGATGATATAAACTACTGAAAGAAATCATCGATCTTTTAACGCTAACGCGACCCTAGCAATTAAATACCATAATGCACTTTGTATCTTTATTAAAGTACTGTTTTCTTGACGAATAGCAGTGTGTCAATTTATGCTATGAATTTTTATGAGTAAAAGAAGTTATATTTCTTAAAATAATATAGTTTTTGCAATATTTTCTTTTAAGAGAAACTTTCAAATTTTGCAAAATCAGCCTCTTTAAAAAAATGTTTAAATAATTGATCAATTCTTATCAGATAATTTTAAATAGATTATTATTTAATAAAAAATATCTCAATTTAGTAGTATCTCAATTTCCGATATATTAGTTAGTTTTAATTATTTCAAAGTATTTATCGTTTAGTTGCGCATATAGCCATTATCGTTTAGTTGCGCATATGTATATATTAAAATAAAATATTTTAAGCATTAAATGCAATGTTATAAAAAGTAATATTGCCTATTTTGATTAAATAAAAAACAACAATTTTCGTTTTTCAATTTCAAGAGAAATAAGTTACAAATTTATGTAATATTTACTATTAAATATCATGATTCTGAAAACAATATTTTCTATTAAATTGAAAGCCATTGAATAAAATAAGCGAACTAGAGTTCGTGCAATTTGCTCGTAATTGAATAGGCTGTCATAAGTATCGACTATATGTCCGGCAACTCTAACAAAACATTGTTATATTCGCGCTTTCTGCGAGATGCATTTATAAGGGTCTGAAAACGACAGAATCCGTGTGTGAATTCGTCTTCGTTGTCGCTATAAATCACGAGTCTTGTCGCGGGTCAGAGTTACGACCGAGACCGATCGTCGACTACTAGCCAGTAACATTCCTGGCGATCGATCTGAGGAGAATGCGAAACAAGAAAGCCGGATTGTTTTCTTCTGGTAGGGTCATGTCATTTTCTCTCTCTCTCTCTCTCTCTCTCTCTCTCTCTCTCTCTCTCTCTCTCGCTTTCTTCTTCCGCGTTATATATATAATAATATACGCGAAAATGGCGCGAGGCGTGGTTGTTAATAACGAGGCGAACAGAATGCATGAAAGATCGTCGAACAGTTGATGTGGATCGCGCAAGGTCGATGAATAGATTCTTCGACGGCCATGAGAGTTTCGGAATGTAGATCCGCGAACGACGCACTTCTTTTCGAAACCCTACGAGAAATTGAAAAAAATATATTATATAATTTTTGAAAAGAGATCGCGTGGAATTTTGAATATTGTTTTAAGTTGAATTGATTGTTTTAACTTTGCATACTTGTTCCCTTGCATTAATTTGTTCTCTTCCAAATTACACTAAATTTTTTCTAAAGTATTTCTTTTAAAAAATAAAAACAAAAATATTTTAAAGCGTAATCGTTTAAAATGAAACCACACCAATCATATAATCCACTACGCATATAATATATATATAATATATATATATATATATATATATATATATATATATATGCAGTATTTATATTTATTTGATTGCAAAATTTAAAAGTTTGCTTAAAATTTTAAAACCGAATTGTCGAAACATAAAATTTATCTATACCAATTAATATTTCAGAAAACAAGTTTTTAGCTTTTTAAGGCTGAAATAATTGCGCCTTTTTATTAACCAATATCAATTGCAATTGAGAATAATTTGTTAGAGTTTTGTTTAGATATAATAATTATTTTTCAATTGCTTCACGAAGCAATCACTGCCGTAATCTATTTTAAAATAAAAAATTGAAAACATGGAAACATTAACAAGCCATCGACACACATCTTCTATTATATTTTTAAATGTAACTTTTACTACATATAACGTTCATGGATTTATCTCGTTGAAGCAACGAGCAAATACTTTTCCGATGAGATTTTAAAAGATATAAAACTTCTTAAATCATGCCTGCTGCATGCTATGCTACTTCAACAGTTTGTAGTCTTTATGTAAATACAACTCACCTGGATTGTAAACACTTCAAGTGCCAAGCGATTGTGGGAATCCTCTCGCCGCAAAGTTTTGGACGGGAACTGTGCGAAACCATCGCGGCAGCATCACATCCAGCTCGATCCCTCGATATCGAACCTCTCATTGAAGCCGTGCAGCCGATTGATCACCGTGCAGAGTATCTCCATCGACGATGGAGGATGCTGCGATTCGGCGATGCAGCAACTTTCCATCAGCCATCACTACGGAACATTGCCACACAAGCTGATGCTAAGTAAGCTTTTATAGCCGGGATACGGCGGGCATGTGGGACGCGCGAACTTACGTCGGAATCAGGGCGGAGCCTGCGTGACGAGGTTAAAAAAAAATCGATTAATCGGATCAAAAATAGCCGTGGTCTCGCGACGCAACCTCGAACAGAATCGGAAACGTCAACCGCGCCCAAGCATTCAAGTTGGGGCGAACAACGGTCCAGAAAGTTGATTTTATCACCTTCATGCAAGACGTTTATCGATAATAGGATTGATCGTGATTGTCTGCCTGGAGATCGAAGGAAGAAAAATCTTTCAACGGTATTACAAATGAAGCACTAAAATAAACTACAAAGTATTTATTGTCACGGAGAAAAAGCATTCAAAACTTATGGAGACGAGTAGATAAAATGTGTTGTTATGTATGTGTACTAATATAAATTATTATTATTAATATATTTATATTAGTTATTATATATTAATAAATTATTATTAATAATATTAATTATCAATTAACTATTAAATAAGAGAGATAATATAGATAGTATATATAGAAAAAGTTGATATGTTATTGCAAGCAAATTGATCGAAATATTAGAATTAAAATATTATATGTATTAAATACACTCGTTCCGGGGGCAGAGAAATAAAAAAAAAACAATTCGGTAGGATCAATGGAGTGATCTATCGCGCTTGGCAGACAAATAATTCGATGCTACGATCGATCAATCTCGTGCATATTGAAAATCCACGCAATGAAGGATAAGCTATCACTACCGTATAGTACTTGTAGCACAACTCGCTTGGCAGTGCGCGGTGATTGATGATGTACAAATCTAAATTTACAGCGGCTACCACTGATCACCTTGATGAAAACGTGTAACGTTGCGGCCGACGGCTCGGCAGAACCATTAGTCGAATGGTAATCGATTAATGCAAGCGATGCACACGCTTGTAAGCAACTTTGATAATCCCTTTATGTCGCGTTTCAAGCTTTGTAATTGTAAACTAGTTAGAAGAGATATCAGGGTGCATGTTTACGTAGCTAAAAACCTGCTTAGCCGATCACGTTTCGCGGTTGCGCTTTGATAATTAAATAGAGAAACATATACCATTGCCAATAATATGGCTGGCAGCATGATTAATGAAACGATTAATTTATGAATCGTTTTATACGAGGATAATAATAGAATACAATATTCAACTACAATTACAAGAAATAATACAATTCATGACTTCAATATAATAAAAATATTAACGGAAAGAATATGACATTCGTACAATTCATTGAGGATCAGAAATATTTGATTGAAGAAAACTAAAGTCGTGTTATGAGAAAATACGCTGTTGGGGCTCCGCCAAATTCTGCTGTTGAAAAACCGTGGGTTTCAAATCAAGAAACTTTGAGAATCGTCGATCTACGTTAGACATATACAATGCATTTCCTCTTTCGTCGAGAAGAAAAAGATATCGCGATGAAAGTAAATGACGAAATGTCCAAGTTGACACGTCTGTTGCTTTTCATACACATACGTTTATACACATTCGAAGCAATTCTTTTGAATTCATTCGACAGAAGGATATGATATGGATACAGCGGCGAAAAAGAGTTTCCGTACCGCTCAATCAACAGTTCACCTTTGCTGTGTGTGATGCCCGATAATGGCACCGCAAACGATTCCTGCCTACGAGAGATATGTAACGAACTCTTGGTGATATGCGCGCGAGCACATATACGCACGCACACATATTCATATTTGACGTAACAATAGGACCCTCATTCCTGGTGACAATCTGCAAAGCCCGAATGACGCGTGGGCAATGCAACCCATGCCTCGCCTAGACAGATGTACAATGCAATGCAATGCAATGCAATCGTTCTAATGGCGACGGATACGTGTCTATTTACCAAGTCAAGAGAAAGCAGGAAGAGGATACGCATAGAGACACGTGAGTCGTCTTTACTCTCAAGGTCATCGAGATGATTGAATGCATCGCGATAAATAGTCGCTGATCTTCTTTTATGATATCGCTTCACGATTATAAAATATGTGACGATGTTATAAATTAAATAATATTTTCAAATAAAAAGAATTTTTTTCTCATTATTTACGCGACATATTTCTTTTTCCGATTTTTCTTTCTTTTTTTTTTGGAAAAATCTAAGAGATCTAAGAAATAAAAGAGAGATGCTAGATAAAATAATAAGATTTTAAAAATCAACGCGGAATGTTATCGGTAGAAAAAAATAAAAACCATATCATTCGCTTTTGAACAAGTTGACCTAATGTCAATCACATCTCCATACTCGCTTTCGAGAGTGAATTGTAACAAAAGGCGATATCGCACCGAGATATCAATCTGTTGTTGTTGCTACTGCCGATTGCGCAAACGAACCAAGGTAAAACGTAACACGCGAGTCCATAGACGGATGCGTTGAAATGGAGCAATGCGACCCTCGTGTCACATGGCAAGACGTATGAGAGGTGAGACGTTAGAGGCACACTTTAATGTCACCAACACTAGATAACGGACTTGATAAGTCGGCGTCGCAGCTCGCAGAGAATGTTTGGCGTGTCCTGTGCCCCGCCCTTGAGGTCGATGGCAGCGTTGGACCAGCGTTCGGGGAGACAATGTCGCTATAAAAGCGCGTTGGGCGCCGATCGATGGTAGCCACATCCACCTCAGCCATCGAAGGAAATTTTCTCTGTTTCATCGTCCACTTCTTCATCATGTACTCCTTGATCGCGATTTTCCTCGTAGCCGTTCTGTCAATGGCGACCGCGGCACCATCGGGTTACCTGGGCTACGGCGCCGCATTAGCCGGCCCGGTTTTAGGCCCTGCGACTCTCACTGGACCCGCTAACGGACCATCCGCACTAGCTGGGCCGGTGGTCGGACCTGCGCGCCTTTCCGGGGCTGTCGATGGCGGTGCCGTCGTTACTGGGGCAGTTGCTGGACCGTCGGTCGTTTCCGGTAGCGTCGCCGGACACACGGCGGTGGTTGGCCCAGCTCTTGGCTACGCGGCGCCAGCCTTTGCATTGCCTGCAGCTTATGGTAAAACACAATAAACTAGAAATTTATTTATTAATTTATTCGAATTAAAATGGCAAGATAAATATTATAAATTATTATATTTTAGAAAATATATTAGAGAAATTTCAAAAAAAATTGAGCGAGACAATTTAAAGTTCTAATATCGATATTTTAATATATATAGAGAGATAAATATAATTTTGTTACACATAATGTTAATGTTACAGCAATACATATCTTAATATCGAAATAAAACGCAACAAGCTTTTTTTGAAATTAAGTTTTTTTATCAATTTCTAAATTTTATATACAATATATATGTATATTAAAGTTCTAGATTTATAAAATTTGTTGAATTTGAGGAATATTGTAAACAACTATAAGACTATAGAATCACTTATATTAAATTTGAAAAACTTTCATTTAAAAATATTTCATTACAAAATATTATCTCATTTAGAAAATATTATTATTAACTTTGTTCTTAAAAAACCTTATTTAAATTTAAAATATACAATTACCTTTATTTATTACTTATTTTATGTCATGATATCTTGTGTTTCTTAGGAGCGATACTTGCTGGTCCTGCTGTAGGTCCAGCAGCTATCGCCGGACCAATCGCAGCTCCAGCCTTGATCGCTGGTCCATCTGGTAGCATCACTGCTGGACACGCCGGATTAGGCGGTGTTATTCGTGGATATGCTGGATATTAGGACACTGGTAAAATACATAAAGGACCCTCTCACGCGACTGATCTCTTCGATACTCGCCAACTCAATCACATCGCGATCTTCGTCATTCAGCGTAATTCTTCGTTTCTTATCTGTTACGTGTACATAACATAATTTCGTATATACATTGTTACATATAATAATAATGATAATAAATGCACTTCTGGAACAAAAAATGTTATCATTTTTCATTTTCCATCTCATATTATTAATAATTTTATTATAATTAGATATATCCACGCAAATTTTTTCACCACGCAATTTTTTTATAAGAATAATCTTTAATTTATTAAATAATCTTTAATATCTAATATTTTCCATATATATTTTATGTATTTAGAAAATATTAGAAAAAAACATACTTAATAAAATAATTCTATTTCTAATTTAAATATGTTTTTGTTAAAAATATACTTACAAGAATAAGCTAAGATTAATATGATAATTTCATCATAAGCTCATTATACAGCATATCAAATTAATTAAAATTTTAATGATCAATATCTATTGTAGCGACAAATATCTGTTATTTCATAAATTATTTTTTATGTATAATACCTGCTTAGAAGCTAATCGGAATTGGCTGGTCTCTATCCATTATGTCACTATTCCATTAGTTTCGATATGTTTCAATTGCGCAATGATATCTACGGTAATTGTTGGAAATTGCCTCAATATCACACCAATCAGTCCTGTATTCTCCGCGTTGACGTTGAGAACATTCGCGCGAATATCGAAGCATTTCCCGCTTCGTTCCGCGATGCACATTTGCGCCGTGACATTCGCTCCTTTAATCTGCGTTTTTAATCATGGTCACGGAATACAAGACACCGCATTATAACGGAGCTGTCTCATCACCATCCGCTCGTATCCATTTCCACAGCTATGGAAACTACGAAAATTATGGCTGCATTGTCCGCGCACATTATCATTTCAAAGAGGATTTTTCTGCGTTTCAGGAAAACATAGTCCGGTACGAGTATTATAAGTTCTTATAACAGCAAGCTAAAATGAAATTGATATTAATACCGTCATGTCGCAGTTTAAAAAACAATGTGCAGTCAAACACATGTAGATTGCATTAATAACTGTAAGATGAATATATATTGATTGAAACTTAATTTTATATAACTGTGTATATATCTTTTATATTATTGCATCATATAAAGTTTCCATATGTTATTCAATGCGTGCAACTATTGATAATAATCCAAAATAAAATGTATTTGCCATATAAAAGAGAAAACATTTATTATTTCTTGCAATTACAATATTCAATAATGAGCCTAAATCATAAATAATTAATAATTGAAAGCCATATCACACCAGTTAAACAAACATTAATAACAACAAGACTAATAGTAATATATTGTTAATATTTATAATAAATAAAAGTGATTTCTCTATTTTTCGTCATTTTGTTCAGGACTGCACAGCTTTAATAAACTTTTTTACATAGCTAACCGATATAAAACTGACATTTCTCTTGCAGCAATATTTATCTCGCGACATATATTAAGAATTTCTAAATGTAACTTAGTAACATAATATCAGCAGAACTCTCTGAATAAATACAGCAGCTTCTGTTTTCTGTGTTTAACACATTAGATGTAAATGATGTCGCAATTTTCTGTAAGCTGGATAAGACTAGCATGCACGTACATATTCACGAAATAGATATATATATATATATATATATATATATATATATATATATTAGATGAATTGCGAAATTGAAGCAGCTTAGCGACAGCTGTGAGACATGCAAAACAAATGTCAGCACTGCTGACACTCTCGTAATACTACGCTGCATGTTTTAATATCAAACGTACAATCGGTGTTCGAGGATATATATGTCTGCTCAGTTTGCACATTCTTTAATAAAATTTATTATATCATGTAATGAAATTATTGTGAAATTAAGTATGAAATACAATAAAATTCAAAATAATATTGTACTAATACATACACTATGTACATTAATATATACACTAATGGATTTTCTATTTTTTAATAACAAAGATACCGCAGCTAATGATATCGAATGACTGTGAATATAATTTAATTATAAAACATTGCAATTAATAATCAGAAATTTATTTTATGATTTATAATTTTGTGTTAACGGAGCAAGATGTAGCATAAAATATAAGTCTCCTTTTCAGTAAAATTTGAGAATTTAAACTTAGATCTGAATTAAGGAGCTAAATTTCGATCTCCTTCGTAAGTTGAATTGAAACCTTTGTATTGTCGTATCGCAGAATGGCAATGAGATGTGCGATCAAACATGCGGAGAACAGATTAATATAGTAGCAAAACTAATAAAAATATATTATTAATATATGCAATAAGTTCGGCATTGATTTCTTGATTTTTCCAGTCTTTTGAGTTTTTTTAAGTTTCTCAACTGTCTTTAATTAATACAGTTTATTAGACTTTGTCTGAAACATTTCTTTCTAAAGTGCAGAGTTTATGAAATATTCGACCGGTCCGGGACTTTTGGGACATCCTGTATGTATCATATGAATTATATGTATATATTTATAGAAGATCTAGATTTTTAATTATATGTCATAGTCTTGCCTTTATATAACCAGTTCATATCGTATATTATTAGCGATTTTCCGTAGAATTGACAGCTATACCGTTATAACTTCTCATTAGATTGACTGTATAAATCCTGACTGTACGAGGACAAATCAACAAACTTGACTTCTTTGATCTACAAATGTAAAGTGGTTGGTAAGTATATATTACATTGCTCATTCTGAGATTATATAAATTTAACATATCTAACAATAGAATTTTACTAATTATCAAAATCTTGAAAATTGGCAATATTAGAAAATAATAGTTTTACTTTGAAAATAATAGTTTTACTTTGAAAATAACAATTTTGTATATTAATCTTTGTAGAAACTGTGAATCTTTTCTCTCTTTGTCATAAAGATTTTTATCGCTGTTATAATGGCAATGCTTCAGTTACTTCGAATCGTCAACGTCGCTCTCAACATCGGTTGAAGTATCGGGCATAATAGCGTGATGATTATGAATGCTGCAGGAAACGGCGTAGCAGTTCTAGGACCTGTTGCATTTGCCGCTGCAGTGACCGGTTTCATCCTCCGTGATCGCTGTCGGACCCGGTTCTGTAGCTTTGTTGGTTCAACTTCGGCAACCATAGTCGGATCTTTTGTTGTTTCCGCGACCGTAGTTGGACCTGCTGCCAATAGCTGTCGTGAATCCTACCGTAGGTAAAAGCTTTGTATCTTTAATTCAAAATATTAAACTCTCTATAACTAACATATTAATTGCCTTCATATAAAATTATATAATAATAAATGAAAATTATTGATTTTTATTGCAACACTGAGCATTGTGACTGGATCTGCAGGAACAATAACAGTACCGGAAGATGCAATTGCTAATGGAGTCTGATAAATTGACCAGCGATTATAGCAGCTGAATTTACGACAGCCGTCGCACTAGCTTTTAGTCCTATCACTGCGATTCTTGATGGAACTACAGGTTCGTGGAATAACTCCCAAAACGCTGTGTCACTCTCGATCGAGACTGTCATCGCGATCATAATGAAAATTACTACCTAGAGAAAAGAAATATAAGAGATTCACTTCTTAATTTGTTAAATTGAATAGCAAAGAAATAAATAATATCAAAAATATATGTGGGTTATGTATAAATTTTATTTCTAGTTGTGTTATGTATATCTTATATGTGTTATATATTATATGTGTATATTATGTATAAATTTAATTCCTAATAATGAAAATATACAATGCTTATAAAAATTTGGAACAACAGGTAAGTAATCCAGTAATTTCGAACGTGCTATTAATGGAAGATTTCATGCTGGCGCCGTTATTTTGTCCGTATAAAACTTCTAAAGCTGAGAAAATCGACTGATGGATCAGTTGGATGGATCACTTTTTGTTTTTTTATAATATTCTTTTTCTACTTCGTTTGCCCCATCCACACATCCGGAACAAACACTCAATTATTCACGAAGTAAATTATCATGATTCTGTCATTGAGTGTAATGTATATGATAGATTAAATTAAGAATAGCAATGTGATATATCGCTTAATATATTATACAAAATATATAATAGTGATATTGACAAATGGCAATATAAAAATTGCCCTTTATTTATAACACTTCTCTTAAAGAATGTATGTGTCGGATGATTTTACTTAGCTGAATATGAATAAAAATTATTATAGCCATTTCTAAGACAATTAAAAAGAGAAAATATTATCTTGATGTTGGAAGATTCAGTTTACGATGTCAGGTAATATCTAATTATATTCTTATGTGTTATATATATATATATATATATATATATATATATATTTGTTATTCATCAAATATATTTTTAAGCATAACTTTAAAAGATTAAAATATGTGTGCACTTTAGTACAAAAATGTTTATTCTTTCATATTTAAATAAAATATAATTACAAAAAATAAAGCTTATGAAATTCCTTCTAAATTTTTGTATTCAATAATAATGAAAAACATAATATCTATATTTTAACGCTGTCGTTTTTTTATTTTTTTTTTGCAAATTACTTGTAAATAAAATCTATAATGGAAAGAACTGAGAATATCAGTGAAATTGCAGCTGGCAGTCTGAAGGTCGTCCGCGCATGAAAAATGCGCGAAAGAGGATTGAAAAAGTCACCATGGAAAAACAGTCGATGAAGTTGCCAATAAGCGAGCAAACTTTATTGTACTTCATCAACCGAGTGGTCGAAGGGAAGCTTGTTATGTCGGAAATATTCGCCGCCGCGTGCTTGATGAGAAAAGTTTAATCTACTGGCCCGTAATGCACTTTTGTGTCACTTGTGAAATATAAGTCACGCGGTATCGAGCTGTTTTGGAATAATATTGTTTCGATATTGATTATTTTACATAATTTAAATAGATGGCAAGTTATTACAAAAATATAAATTTGTAATTTTTAAATAAATAAATTTCAAGCTTTAGCTTATTCTCTTTTTTATTTACACGATTATTGAAAATATAATATGAAAAGGTACGCATTGCATTGCGCGTATAAATTACCGATTCTATTATTGTATATTAAGTTCTTTAATCTAAAATTTAAAATTTTTTCGAAATACCTACCATGTTGCTATTTTCGTATTTTTTCGTTTCCGGAAAAGAGAACCGCGCGATGACGTTACGAATGAAATCGCACGACAACACCAACCGTCGAGCTATGCACCGCACGTCCGCAACGAACCGAGTTATGCAAATTCACATACGCGTAACTCTGTATCCGTTCTCATTGGCCGGGATGGATGCACGTCGTTGATATTGTTCTCAAATCACTCGACATGCTGACGTGAGACACGGGAATGAACGCGCAGTGATAGCAGCTGACGATGATATCCCGAACTCGATGCGATTATACCCTCTAAATGATACGATCCGATTGGGAATACATTGATTTACTATGCATATTCAGCAATACGTCTGAATCATTCGCATGATTTCGCACGGACAACGTTTCATACACAGTGACTTCTGCCTTTATATATTTAACTCTTTGAGCTGTCAAATGATTGTGCAGTAAAACTATGTATCGGATTTGCTACACACATACACATTGTGTATGTCTCCTATATTAATTTTCCCAGATATATAATACAATATATATTCCTGTGTGATTGATATTTGCGGACAATTGATATTACTCAATATCGCGGTATCAAATTTATTTAAAATTAAGAATGTATGTAATTATAATAAACAATGATTTTCCCCAAAATTTTTGATTGAAATATAATTAATCTTTTTACAACCAATACACCATTTTAAATACATGTGTGTGTGTGTGTGTGTGTGTGTGTGTGTGTGTGTGTGTGTGTGTGTGTGTTCTAAGACGATTAAAGAAAGAGCGATATATGTATATGCTTTTAATGATAAAATCTTTATTGAATTTTAAACAATTTCTTTCTTTGACAAAAATATCAAGAATCATTATTTATTATAATAGAAATAATATTCGAGAATTAATTGCATTAATATTAAGGGCAACAAAATTTATTTTTCGTAAACATGTACAATATTTATGTATTTAATATTTATAATAGCTTTTCATTTTTTGCATAATAACTAATTAAGTTTCAAATTAAAATTATAACATAAATTCCATTTAAAATTTATTAAATAATATAATTTTGCTACCTATTTTCAAAATTGACTTCGAAAAAGATTTTCTTTTCAATTATAACTTGAAAATCATTGATAATTTGACATTTCCATTTATATAAAAAAAAAACTTTTTATATAAATCAGCTAAAGAAATTTAAAAATCTGTTATTTACGAATATTTTAGAATTAATTATTTTTATGTTGCTTTATAATGTTGTATTATTCAATCAGATTGTTATTGAAAAGTAAAGCATCCGCAGATATAGTATTCCTAAGAAATATGTTGAATTTCTACGATATATGCTCCAACTGTGATTGTGACTTGAATATTTATGGGCAGCACCATCATGTGTCGACCTATCGAACATCGTAAAGGTAATAGCTACGGCACAACCATACATTTCAATCAGCTTTTCTATTACATATATATATCCATGATCGCGCCAACACCGAAAGACCTATCTATAAATTATCTTATCTTTTCGAACAGTTTAGACTCACACTATAATCATCATTGTAAAAATTATTATTATATAATTATAAAAACAAAGATATTAAACTATCGCAATTTATAGCGAGAAATATATCATTAAATAAAGTATCTAAAAATCCGAAAAATATTTAATATGGAAATCCTATCGAGGAGTTATTGCAATTACAGATTTGAAAAGCAGTTACTAAAACTGTTACTAAATAGAAATTCTGAACATTTCGTAATTTTCTATTCGACTACACAGTTACATATTACATATCGGATATTATTTTATTTTTTATACTCTCTATCAAATCAAACAATCATTGTATTCAATTTTTAATAGGTAGCAAGAAACAGAAAAATGCTAGATCTATACAATGCAAGTAGATACGATAAAAAATATATATCAAGAAGAAAATGTCTCGTGCAAGGACAATAAAATAGAGATACGACTAGTTGGCATTGGCGATCGTTAATTGCTTTCTTAACTGTTACCGTCGATGAGATTTATATTGTTGTTTCTGTGTACAAATGTCGCAATACTTTTCCTAGTTAGAATTTATAATACTCGTTATAGCCGTTTTATAGCCACTCCTACATAAAATAAGTAATAAAAACTTATTGAAATACGTAGCTAAACTTATTGAAATACGTTCTACTTATGGCTTCTTCATATACATGTAATGCTTTAATAACGCCAAATTATTAATAAAATCAAATTATTTAGAAATAGTACAAAGAAATCGCTTAAAAAATTATAACAACTTACAACTGTATTGCAAATGTAGCGCAATTAAAATACTAGTAGTTTTATGTAAACGTGAGATGAGTCTAGCGCACGTGCAATGTAAACCTTACTCCGGAAACTCATTTGTCAATGTCCTGCTTTTATTAAATAAATGTATTTAGGCTACATACTAGATCTCAACTTTTAGCTATAATTCAATTCTGACACTTTGTCCTTTTGTAAATTTCTTCCAATATATATTATAAATAAAACCTGCTACCAGCAGATATAATCACGATTATGGTATTCATGTAAAAAAATAATAAAAGATATTCAAATTAAAACTATAAAAATTAAAAGAGAAATAAAATATAAAAATTATATACATTAAAATTTAAATTATATACATACTTATATATATATATATATATATATATATATATATATATATATAATAGTCTTAATATACATATACTAATTAAATAAACCGAAATTATAAAATAAGTGTTATTTTAACATTTGTTGGACATTATATAGTTGTAATCCAAAATACTTATTATTGACACATATAAAAATATATTCTTATAATAAATATCAATGGTATAAATTAATATAATACAACTATGTATCTCATTAACTTTTTATTGGATTGTATAATTATTTTTTATTTCTAATTTTTTTTTATTATTTTTACATTGCTTAAATTACAATCCAAATTTTAAAACAATATTATTCCGTCACCATATTGAAGTATATTGAACCATCACCAAATAAAATTAATAAAATCATATATCATTCATTGTAAAACCAAGTATTATTATAAATTTTCAATTAATAATTATCAATTTTTTCTATTTTAATATTTATAAGCTTGCGTTGATTATAAATTAAATGCAAAGTACTGAACAATTTTTTTTAACCGAGACAGGATACAAAACATAAAAACAAATTGATAAAAAACAAATTTGAGTCTCAGCTGGAATTTAAAACAGAATTTTAATAGAGAAAATCTTTACTTTTCAATGAATTTTGCCAATTCGATTACATATTTCCAATTCCATCTTGATTGTCATTATCAGTAAAACTTTTTAAATTTGTGATCGCAGTTCTTTCCTAAAAGAAAAGATTTTGATCAATACATTTCTTGTAAATGTATACTTTTTAAGATATATGTATTTTAATATATTTAATCTCATAATTTCAGTTGCTGATATAGCGAGCAATTGCATTTGCACTTCTTTATATTTACCTTTATGTGGATTTATAAATTTATCATAATCTTTTGAATCCTTTAATTCGTGTGAATTTTCTTTAGATCCTTTTAAATCTTTTTTAAATTCTTTTTCTTTAAAGTAATCTTTAGATAAACTTAGAACTATATTGTCTTCATCTAACAAAAGTAGCATTATACAGGAAAGTAAAATCTAAAATTTCGAAAAAAGTCGAAACATTAATCTTTCAACTTTATTCGCATTACAGAAAATATGCAACAATTAAATAGAAATGACTAAATAAAACTTACGATGTACTTCATATTAGCCATCTTAAGGAATTTTTGTTTTGTTTTTTTTTTTATGATCACCTTTCGAAAAGTTAAGTATAGTTGTGGATCAATATGTTGAGCGCACTTATTTTCGTCTAGAAACAATGTTATACATAACACGTATACTGACAGAATTAACTCAGAAATGATACTAACAATAAGAAACCCAATTTGATATTCTATTTGTTATTACTATGTGCTTATAAATAGTAACTTTATATATATAGTACTGTTATTATTTACACACACACATATATATACCACAATTATTATACTAATTATTACTACTACATTATTTTGTGCAGGAAAACTAAAAAGTATTTTAATAATCGAATATCTTTAAATTGACAGAAAATTACTTATGGGTTAGCATAATGATAAGTAATAAAGTAAAAAGTAAATAAAAAATATATATATAAAGAAGTAAAAAAGAATCTAATAAGTAATAAAATAAAAGGTAAAAAGAAAAAAAGTTTAATAAAAATTTTAAATAAAAAAAATTAATTAAATAAATTTAAAAAAAATAAAACAAAAAGTAAATAAAGTAAAACAAAAATATTAAGTAATAAAAAAATATTTTACAAATATTTAATATTTAATAATAAAAACGTAAGCTTAAAAAAGTTTGAAATAATATCTATTTGTAAATATTAATACAATTAACTTCAAACTATTATTAAATACAATTAACTTCAAACTATTATTAAATATCACATTTAAAAAATTATACATATATATGAGAAGTAATTATTATTATTTCAATTTATTCTTTAAATTGACTCTTTTGATATATTTAGCGTAATATTTACAAATGCTTAACATTTTAAAATTAATACTAACAAATTACTTTGTTACATTGTAATTATTATTAATTCTATATTTTACAAGAGCAGTCAAGAGACGCTGCGCTAGATGTGTTCGGTACATATATGAATGTGTGTATGTGCGCGCGTATGTTTTTAAATTTAGCAAATATTGTTTTTCCGCTTTTATTAATAGAATAAATAATAATAATTATATATTCTAAATCATCCTTGGTTAATGAAAAAACTAATGTGCAAATGATGACAGCGAACAACTGTATTATTATTATCGAGAATAGCGATAAACCAACAAGTTCTCAAAATATTTACATTAGTGTAAAAAGTTAAAAATTAAAATAATATAAAAGCATAAAAATTAAGATATAAACAAAGTAAACACGTAATATTTATACATGTAATAATTCCAGAATGATGTGAATGTTGATTTTTATTGACGCAACACATTTAGCGATATTCGTACCTATATTTTCTTTATAATTTTATATTTAAATTGTCGATATTAAGGATATACATTGGAATTTTATGATAAATAAATGTTTAATTGTTTAGTCTTTATTTGCCTTTTAGTAAAAATCCTTTTTGTAAAAATAATAAATTAGAAGTAAAAGATAACAATAAATAAATTAATGAAATATATAGTTAGATTAATTAACATCATCTCTATTATAAAAATATATTTTATTTTTTTATCCACAAACAAGTTTCTTGCGATTACAATATATGTAATTTCCAACCAATATTAAAATTACAATACAATTGATGTTACAATATTTCATAATCTCGATGTATTTAATTTATGGTAAATATATTAAAAATATTATATATATCATATATATATATATATATATATATATATATATATGTGTGACTGTAATATATATAACACTGACACACAGTATAATTAGTAGTTTCAGTTTATATATTTTAAAATTTAAAAGCTTAAATTCAAACTGTAGAACTAGCAGCTGAAGTAGAACTAGCAGCTGAAGTAGAACTAGCTCTGAATGGAGAGGATACACCTGTAGGACCTCCTATTCCATAATTGCCTAAGAAATGTCTCATAAAAAAATTTGGTTTTATTAAATGACCAACATTAGGTATATCTTCCGAAGATAGAATACCGTTTGCAACAGGATCTGCAATTCCGTTTACAATTGCGGGGCTCGTAATACTTGGCATTATTCCTCTATTTGCAAATAGAGACCTGAATGAATCGCCTAAGCCAAACATTTTTGGAAATATTCGTAAGTTTTTTAAATATGGTAATCCAAAACCGCTGAAACCATCCGGAAAATTGGATAGAAAATTTTCATGAAACAATCCTAGTGGTAACAGTCCTGCTTGAATTACCTGTATAATAATTATACAAAATATGGTTAAACCAATAAAATATATACCTAATATATATCTATAAATATCTTACAATAAATAATACTATGTACACAGTAATATTTAATACCACATATAAACAAAATGGGAGATTAAAAATATTTCTCTCGATGTGTAGGAGATTTAAAAATTTTTATTACTTAGCCACATTATGAAAACTTTGAAATCGCTTATATACGGCAAATTTATTACAACATAAATAGATCAAATTAAACATATAATATTATGGAGAATGTTAAAAGTGATTTTATAAAAATTACGTAACAATGTCCGTATATGCAGAAGAATTAGACTAGTTATATAAGTAAATTATATTTAGATAGCTTTATATAAATATTTATACATAATATTTTTATTTTATATTTTGGAGTTATATATCTTTAAGAAAAATATTATATTATTTTATTATTATAAAATTTAATTAATTAAAAATTTAATTAAAATTTTATTATAAAATATTCAAATTTCCCCGAATATCTACAGATGCACATACAACATATACACATACACAGATCTCTTTTAATGTAACAAAAGAAAATAGTAGTTTACTTGTATCAATATCTAAAATTTTAAATATTTATATTAAATTTTTTCTTCTTCTAATAATTTTTTTTATGCAGACATATATATATATATATATATATATATATATATATATATACAGTATTTTATTTTATAAATTATTAATATTTTAACTATTTAATCTACTATTTTGGTTTTTAATTCACCATTTTAATTTACTATTTTTATATATTGAAATGCTTTCAAATCATCTTATAATATATTATTGACTAATATTCTTTTTCATTTGTTAAAATTAATTTTAATAATCATCAATATAAAATATATTCATCATAGTTACACGACGCAAATTTAATTTTAAAAAGTCATATTAAAACATATAATTTAACTACAATTCTTTTTATACTTTTTGTATTTTAAAATACCGATATCATAAATGTAATATCTACGTACATTAGCAGAAACAAGCGCCAAGAAGATCACAGACAAAACCTGCCTTTGTACCATGGTTATTACACACAAATGACGCTTTATGTAGCACAATCACTTTAATACTTGTGCTAAATAATTGCACACGATTAATTGCTCTTGTTTGAAACTGTCCTTTTATACTCGCAGTGATTGCATATTTCCTCGCACAAATAACTATCATTCACGAAACTGATGGTATAATATTCAAAATTCCTGTGTATCGAAACATATCTTTAAACATTGATATGTCTCGTCTCTGCGTTCGGTTTTCGGCTCTTTGCACGACTGCGATTGCAATACAGACGTGATAATGTAAACAGGAACGCTTACAATGGTTACAATCGAATAGCGGCGATCTCACGTTTCGTGATATCCTTGGAGAAATTATTCACATAAGCAAAATACAATATATCGACGAATAAAATTTGAACGAGCTAGTGAGTAAAAAAGACATGTACGTGAAAAAATAAAATAAAATAAATTTTTAAATGAGATCGATACAGATTCAATTATATATAAATATATATATATATATATATATATATATATATATATATGTGTGTGTGTGTGTGTGTATATAATAAATTTTATAATAACACTAATATGTTTATTGATTCGTTTTAAAAGAAAGAATTAAGAGATAATAATTTATTCAATAAAAAAACGTTTATTATACTGATCATTATAATGACAATTTTTTGGAGTAATTCATCTATTTTTGGCAAATAAACAGACAATTCAATGGAATATATATTGTACATACATCAACAGTATGTGCGTTTGTTAACCTCCCAATGCGTATAGTATTGTTGGCGCTCGACTGTTGTAAGTTTTAATTAGACAAAATTGATTATCTGTGATGTGAGTACACAGCGAACGCACGGCACACAAATCACTGAACGCAAAGAGACATTCTTCTCTCCTCTCGTTGAATTCTAAATGGAAAATAATGAAAAATATCATGCACTTGTGCAAATACAGCCTTCACCATATATAATTTTCATAATTATTATTCAATAATGAGACTCCCATTTTATTTTAATAAAATAGGTAATTATGAAATAGGATTGAAAAAATTGTAAATATATGCTTTATTGTCAATATGTTTGAAATAAAAGATAGAAAAAATAGAAAACAAATAAAAAAAGAAAAAAATAAATTTGCAAAAGATAATGCGTACAAAAAAGCAGGCGACAAGTAATAAATATATATAAGAGAATATTAATTAAATAAAATATTGATTAAAATTGTCATCAATATTATTGATAAAATTATATCGATATTATTCAAATTACTTAAATATAATTTTTAGCATTGTAAATCAAGAAATAAGAATCAGTAGTCAATAAATTTATCAATCGCATATATAAATATGTAGAATAGAAAAACTAACAAGACATACTTGGAATTTAATGCTAAAAACAAAAAGTGCAGGACAATAAGTTTTACAATTTTGATGCTTTTTTCGTCTCTTTCTCTAAGAATAAATAATGAATAATTAAATAATGAAACATTACTCGCCGTTCAATTAATTTTGAACCTAATAACTTTCCGACAATTTTGAAGCATGTAAATAATGGGAATCAGTAAAAAAAAGTTCACGTTACAATCGTGATTTATATATATCTATATATCGTTAACAGCGAAACGCGCAAAGCTAACGAGCGATTCCGTAGTATGTATACATCGAATGTATTTTTCTCGTTGCATGTACGCTCGCATAGAGACAACGCGAGCCCCGCGCGGAGTTAACAATGAAATACAATTAACCAGACAATTTTACGCGGGTGCGGAGAAAAACAGGAGAGGCATTTCCCGCTGGTAATCCTGATAATGGCATAACGCAACCGGGGGCTGCACTTGGATGCACTTTGCTCTAATGCACTCAGCGACCGCCAACAATGCGCAGAAATGAAACGCTTGAAAATAATATCTCATTGCAGGATATCACCGGAAATTCTGGCGGACGATAATGATGAGAATGTTAAAGCTCGTATATACTTATATTTTTATAACCTTATATATTTCCAGCCTGCATTTTCCCGTCCCACTCTGTATTAAATATCCCTAATCGAAAAATTAATTAATGCATGAAATAATGATCGAAAACACATATGCGTATACGCGTTTCTGCAAAGTCATATAACGTGCACACCTATTTGTAGTCTATATTCTTAATAAAGAATGTTTGAGTATTCAAGAGGACATATTAGAAATCTGAATGTAAGATACAACGCGTGCGACAGAGATAGCTGCATGCTCACCTTACAATTGGTAGATTGTATGCTCTTTCGATCGAAAAACAAAATCTTTCACGAGATAACGACATATCACAGTCACGGAGGAGGATGATGGCGTTTGAGGTGTTCGTGAGTTTTCTCGTGAGAAAGCGACCAGCATCCCTGATAACGCTATCAACTTTGTGACTGTGGGCAAGATAAGCCCGACAACGACGTAAACGAGAGCGCCCGTGCGAATTCGGATTTATTCGTTTACACCTAGCTAAAAGGATCGTTCCGCAACACGCAAACAATGGCGTAAAGGATCACGTCAATTTCGCTATCGAAGATTCCCGGAAGTAAGAGAGAAGAAGAAAAGCGCGATAGCGAAATGCAATTAACCCAATTTCTTGCAGTGAAATGATTTAATCTTGACAATCTTCTACTGTAATTACATCAGTTATTAAATCTGAGACTTTAACTTTCTTTAATTAAATTTACGTTGCACATTTCGATATTTTATAAGCCAATTATTCTTGATCAAGATTTCTTACAAATAAAGATGAACAATTTCAGATGCGTATATTATTATATTAATTTAGATATCTTTTACAGAAAGTGATTAATTAGTCATTTGACTTATCGAGATGCCAAGGTACGCAAAATTTTGTGTATTAATTAGCGTTAAATATGAATCTCAAGACTTAATTTTGACAGTAATATTAACTTTAAGTACTATTAAATCAAGTGCCCTTCGAAGAACAGCTTATATTCGTCGAGAGACTCTTTTAATGCTCGCCCTTTCGCTACGCCATTGCGAGAGACCTACGGAGAATCAAGGAGGATTCCCTAATCTGACGGCAAAGGGGCTCCAGACGAAGATTAATGGTCCCATGATACTGAATTTCACCAGACTATACCTTCTTCGTATAATTTGTACAAAACTTGCGATCCTTTCCAAGTGCGGAAAATATCCTTTCGCGTATAGAATATTTTTTTTATAAATTATTTTTACAATATATTAAACATAATTCAGAAACTTTTCGAGTGACAACTCTTTCTAAGACACATCGAAATATTTATGCATAGAGCTTCAATTGTATTTAGATGTAGAGTTTTACATTAGCATAATTTAGGTATACTATTGTAATATTTTTTTTCTTATTATTTAAGTATGAAAATCATCGCAGATTTTCTCCTACAAAATTTATATTCTCTTTTTCCTCTAGCCAAATTTTTTTATGTCAGCACACACAATGCATACAAAGCAGTCTAATGGACGTCCTCTATCTCTTGAAAATTGAAATCAAATTGATAAGAATAGTAGCAATTTCAATATTAAAGTATTGATAGTTATAGAATTACTTTGATAAATCAAAAATTTATTTTTAAAAAGAAAAAAAGCAAGTAATTATACTTAAAAAATAAATATATAATAAAGTTAGAATTCTGATTAATTATAAACTTAATGTGTGTTAAAATTTATATTAAAACGTATAACATTTGTATAATGTATAAGAGAGAGAGAGACATGAGTTTTATAATTAGTATTCCTTCGTTTTAATATTAATTCTAGGAGTAAAATATCCCAAAATATACACACATTGATCAACAATAACATTCTAGTAAAAGTAGTCCAATTTTTAATTACAAAGCTATTTTAATAAAAGCTGTCAAATTAACATTAAATTACAAAGAGAAAATTCTGTAAAGACATTATATTAAAAAACATTAGATTAGATTAGACAAAGCATCAGATTATAATTATTTAAATGATATATATCAATTATATTTAATGTACATATATGTATAAAAATGATGAATTTGAAATAAAAATAGATTTAACAAAATATAGATTTGTAGAATATGTTATACTATGTAGTCATTATTCATAATTCTATACGCTCGATGGACACGATCATTTCACTGTCATCTTATCGATCTGAAGAGGTCAAGCATTGGTTTTCCATCCATTCTCGTTATGATCTCGCCCGTCTTCCTACCATCCGCGTAATCTGCTTTTCGCATACAAATCGCGTCGTCCTAGGCCATTATCAAACGGTTATCAATTTCAAATTTGATCTTTGTGACGCGCGCGGCAGACTTACCCAACGGACGATTTATGATCTGTCGAGGAAAAACTGCGACCTTCACGCAAATTGCTTTTATTAGCTAAATGCAAATTCCGATGATTGAATCATCGATTATAAACGAAAGATGGAATGAAATACGATACGTTTTTACGTGCCATTGCGTATAATAATTACACAATCTTAGGTGAATATGCTGAATTATATGGTGAGTTGCTAAATATGCACGTGGAAAAAAACAGATGACAGTGCGTGGCATCCCATTACTTAACGTTGAGTCATTTCGGAATGATAAAACGCGATTATCGATTGGTCATGACGAGCGATTGCGTCGAGGACACGTTTGCGTAATTCAACAAATGACACATTGTGCCTATCATCATCAATTATTACCAGCTAATTGCCTGCATTTAACTGCTATTTAACTGAACGCTTATCATTTCTGAATTGTTATACGCGATCATCGCAATTATTACTGCCAACAATTGTGACTATCTTTTACCCGGAAACTCGAAATTAACCCAGACCAATTTAAAGATAACGGCAAAACAATACCGAGAACACGTGGCCATTATGGCGAAACCGCCGATAAATTTCGCAACCGCTCTTAAGGTATGCTGCAGATAATCCTTGCATGCGAGCCGCGATAAGAGATAAACGTTTAATGAAAGAGCATCGAAATCAACACGGAGCATTGCCAAAAATGTCTCAGAGTGCAACATGGCATTCATTTTAATTATTGCAATAATTAAAAACGAACTGATTCTGTGAGTGGAAACGATAGATATCGTTTAAAAATAATATTGTAAAATAATATTCTTTTCTTCTAGATTTTTAAAGAAAAAACAATGGACACCCAACAAACTTTTTTAGAATCTTTTATCAAACGCATCTTTATATTTATTTTTAAATTTCTATCTCCACTGCAACAAATTGCAGGACACTTGGATAATTTATGATCTACGTAACTTGTGTATAATTTGTATTATAAATATGAATACGATTATTGGATGAAACCACGATTCCATCAAGCGTAGTGCATAATTTCTTTCATTTTACAATAATTTATGCGCAATCATCAGTTTCAAAATTATACAGCAATGGTAACATCGTGACCGCTCGGCTGTATACAATGGCACCATTATATTTCACGGCGATAAATCTATAACTTCTGGATACCGTCCAAAAGTTTTCTTACGCGAAAGCTCAGTGGAATCGCGCGAAATTCCAAAAGACGTCTCTGTTCGACAATCTCCGGTGGTTTTTCCCCTCATGGGATTGAGTCACGCCCATTCTTTACGCTCCCCTTTCTATGTGGAAAGCGCTCCAAAAATTAAATCGCGAGATTCATTCTTCAGTCAGCCTATTCATCTCTCTTGAGAAGAGACCCAAATGTAGTAGAGTTAATTTTAATAAAATATCTTTTCCTTTTATAAAAGATACAATAAAATGAATTTTTTAATCATCTGACGCTAAGTTGCACCAGCACTTACATATATTTTTTTATTATACTTTACGACATCAATAGTATTAGTAATCAAGATGTCAAAATAGAAAAGTACAACCAAGTAAAATTTCATAAATCTACGAATGCAAAAGCTTGCAAATCTTGAAAAATTTAAAAATCCACATCGAGTTATATATTCTAACATAAGAATAAAAAATTTTAAATATGGGGAATTTAATCTGAAAGAGAGAGAGAGAATAAATATAATATAAAAGAGAGAGAGAGAGAGAACATAGGAGCTTAAAAAATTAATTCTCATCATTTTATAAACCCATTATTTCAAATTTTATATAAACTACACATCCTTTCATTTTTCGATATTTTGCAAAAAACATTGAACAGTGAAACTTTTTTGATGTCCATTGCAGCCGTCATATGCCTAAAGATAAGAAATTCTTCTCGCATGTCTGGCCAGATCGCATTTTTCACTGTCGATGAGTTTGACCGCACTCAAAGTTCTCCACGACGTCCATAGAGGAGTGTAATTCTCCTGCCGTGCTGTCGATGCGAATGCACCGAGGAATTATTTTTCCGGGATAAGGGCGGGGGTGTCTCTGCTCGGGGCTCGCGACTCGGGGCTCGGTGCCATTAGTAATGGTTTTAATTTGTGCGGCTGAAAGTTCACCCCCCTCGGGCCTCAAGTCTCGATCGGCGCGAAATCGATGACGAACGAGTTAGAGGAATGCCGTGTTAGTCGGAAATGGATTCTCTGGGGAAAATGGTACCAGTCGGATTTCGTTCGCAGAAGTCACGCGGAAAAATCGAGGGGACTTTTATGTTGTCGCCGCGAATTCGTTCGAGCGCAATTAATTCAGTTCATCAATTACTTGATCCGCAAGTATTTTTATTTATTTCAGATATCAATTAACAAAAAGTCACATTGTCGAAGCTACATCAGAAAGATTATTCGCGTACTTAATGAAGAATGTTTTTAATCGAATCATTCGTAAATTGAATGAAACTAATTATTTCAACTTTTAAAAACAATTAATAATTATTAAAGAGATTAACTCTGTTGCTACTAATAAAATTTAATTATAAAGTTACTCAAAAATTGATTGCATAAAGGAGACGTTGATAATATCTGCTAGAAAAATATCAGAGAAAGTATCAAGCATACATTAATTAAAAGAAAACTGATCCTTTTTGTTATAATTTAATATCAATGAATGTATTTGAATTTTGTGCTTTCATGCATAATATTGATTGAACTTTTGCTAATTTTTATTTCTTAAAACATTTTTTGAGGAAGAAAAAGAGAGATTTTGTATTTATAGAATTATATCTCAAAGAGAAATTGTATAAATTTGTTAATATTAATAAGATTAATAACAATGCTATCACATTGAAGCGAGTACGTATCACATTGCTCCTTCCCTCTTTATCCCTCCTCTCAAAAAATATATTACAGTAGCTATACATCGAGCATACCGCCATCCTTCGGATGCATAGAGCAACTACTATTGCGCCAAGTTCGACTGCAACTCCAACCAACCACTTGGGAACTCGATTTCAATCTATCATAAGGTTTGTGTCTCGGCTAACTCGCTCTTGTCGCGCGCGTAAAACCTGTTGCTGTTTAAAATATTTATACATCTTGACATATTTTCTTTGCAGTTAAATTAATGCAACTTTGCGATACGTAATGTTTATCTAACATTTCCTACAGAAAGATACACTAATATACTTCTCTTTGTAAAATCCAATTAAATAAATAAGCCAAAATACGACAGTTATAAAATGTCTGAAAAGAAGACATAATCTGATTTTTCATTCCAACAGCACAGTTTCTTAATGAATAATTTTAATTAATACTCGTTGCAGAAATTTAAATATCTTATCCATCTTAAAAGTATTTTGATTATGAAGCTTTCATACAGTTTTGATTACTTTGATTCGATAAATTTCTTTAAATAAAATATAAAAGAAATATTATAAATTAAAGAAATATTATAAACGATAATAATAGTTTTGTTTTGATTTATTGAATCATGTACTGTTTTTTTACATAGTTTTAGTTTTTGTTTAATTTTCTTCTAATAAAGAATTCGCGAGTAAATATTTTATATTAACTATCATATATCTTATATTTATAAAAGTTGTTATCGCTAATATTTCAACTTTCCAAAATCACGTTTATATGTGAAAGAGATGGAGAGCACCTTTAAGTACGTGAAATTTTTATAATGAAAAGAAGTTTATACGAAAGCGGATAACGATCTCCGTTCGTCGTCGTAAATTACCATAAAAGCTCTTTAAGTTTACAGAGCATGTAGCGCATGTACGGTACATAAAAAGCATGAAATAGCTACTAAAATTGGTAGTAGCTGGTAGAACTTAATATAGTCCTTCGCTTCTCTTTATTTTTTTTCTGCAGCGCAACTTCATGTTTCGTAAAACTTGTTTGAAACGAGAAGAGTAATATTCCAAAATAAGATATTTTCACTACGTTTTACAATAAAATTTCATGCTATTATTTAATCAAAAATTTATTCTATGAAACGTTAGTACTGTTAATGATAAGTAAAAGTTAATATTTGTTAAATTTTATATTCCACCCACATAAATACATATATTACATTGTACGCTTGTGAGATCAAAAATTTTCCGAAAATTTTAAAGTCCAAATAGTCATCAGAAAAGGAAATGAACAAGTCAATTATTATTTTGAATTCAGAACATGATACACTTTATTTAAAAATAATATGTCGCGAATATCAATATATTTTCAAAAGCATACGCCGCAAGCACGACACCATATATTATCATAATATTTGGATCAAAATATAAGATGAAATAAAAATATATATATTCTCTCGACATCACAAGTTTATCATAATATTTGGATCGAAAAGTAAGATCAAATAGAAACATATATTCTCTCAAACTATATACTTAAAAAATAAAAAGTAAAAATAATAAACACAACAAACGAATTTAAAATCACTCGTTTCGTACAACGATAAAACACGCATTGCACGATGTGAATTCTCACGTGCTTCCGAGCACGTGGCACGCGCAAGCGTAATCGGAGGACGAGCACGTGCTCAGTCGCGGCGAGAATTGGAGCTCGGGCATCTTCGGCCATTGTCGCGAGTCGACGACCGACCGCGGAAAGGCAGTCGCGCGCCGGCCGCTGTCACGGTAGGATGTGTATGTTTATGTTTCCGCGATGATTACCGTTCGGCTACCATAGAGGTTATGTTTACGCGCTTTGCTCAAGAACGACGCACGTCTCTATGCACCGGTATTCCTGAGGGCTCCCGTCGCTTCCAAATGTCTATGTGCACCTCGCAACGTTATCTCAATGATATTAGAAGAATTTCGTGAGATTTCTTCAACAGCATGATTGTCCGACATTTCGAAAAACATTGCGACAAAAACGTAAGTAAAATGTCGATTATAATTTTCTTAATTTAAATATATATACATATATAAAACTTTTTATGAAGAATAAGAAAGAGAGAGAGAGAGGGAGAAAGAGAGAGAGAGGGAGAGAGAGAGAAACAAATTATATACATTCTTGTATATATATTCTCAGTCGGAACGTATAATTGATGTGTTCTATTTTCTCACACACACTTGAAGTTCTCTGCAATTCATTATCCATTCCATTTGAAATTCATTCGCATCGAAGATACATTATATTAAACTTTAAAAATGAAATATTAAATACTTGAAATTTTAAATGTTAAATATTAAATGAGTGTTTAACCAAATTTATTTTTATAAAGAAATTATTTTATAAAGAAATTAAATAGAATCATCCAATTTTACATCATTTATATTGAAAAACCAATTGATATATTCCGATATTGGAAAATATTCAATATTTTTTCCTTGATTTACTCTCTGCTATTTTTCACTAGAAGACGATATAATTAATCAAAAGTTAATTTTATAAAGAAACAATCCACATCTTGCTAAATTTCTGATTCGCTGGAAATGTGTAAAATATCGATTTAACAATGAATATCTCTTCTTGAGAGAATATAATATCGTGAAATTGAATTCGTCAGATTTTCGTCAAGAGAAAGCGCGTGAGTAACTTATTCTCTTTCTTTTTGTGACATTTCTACCGGTGAAAACAATATACGCCATTCATTTATTCCAATTTAGTGAACAAGCTTCGTGTCGCGACGCGGTTCTGTTCGGTTCGTTGGCGAAATCGATAACTGCCTTCCGAACCGAAACGAATTGTTCTCCTAGTTTGAAGTTTGTCGTCCGCCACGTGACTTGTCAGCCGACCAAGTCTTTCAATAACTTTCTTTTCGTTGTTTTTCGTACAACTTGTAGCTAACATAGAGTTATACGATAAACTGTTTCTATTTATTATATTGCTTTACATACATCAATTTTTTATTATTTTATTTCTTTAATTTATTATGTATTACTTAATTTTACTATAATTGATTGACAATTATATTCAAAAAAAGGTAAAATTATTTATACAATTATATGAAAGATAATGATGAAGGGAATTCATTATTATTTATAATGAATATGGAAATGTATTAGTTTATATATATTTGTTTACATTATGCACTAATATAAGTTATTTATACTAATTGTAACAAAATATTGCAATAGCATAATGTGTGTGTGTAAACAAATGTTCGATTAAAGATAATTTTATGACATAATTCTGAAATATAGAAATTCCTCGTATTTTACTACAAAAGCAATCACATATACTACATTATTTTTTATAAAGAATTGCATATTGCATAATGTACATAACTGTATATGCAAAAGAAGATTGAAATTATATAGCTAAGTATAAATACAATTCATTATGATTGATTTAACAGTGAATGATCAAATTTATGAACATCTGATTTCAATTAGAGATTTTCATCTATATTGCGTCATATACGTAAATTAATTTCAGTAAATTATTCACTTCGAATTTTTTAGTAAATCAGAGAATTCCGAAGAAATTTAACGATGGTTATGGAAATAATAATACGTGAATGAGGCAAGACAATTTTTAATGAAATTTTATAATCATTCGCGAAGCTGTGTATTATTTTATGCACATGCATAATCCATATCAATGCTATCGCTTTGATATCGAACGAATAAATTTAATCACCGCTCTACCATTCATCGAGGAATTAAATAACATTTGTAGTTATTACCGAGATAATTTTATAAATTATACATCTTTTCTCCGTATTTAACAATTTTCATACATGAGAGTTACTGAATGACATAAAAGAATATAAAAAAGTGTATTAAAAAAATATAATAATAAATCATGTACATATATATTACATGTATATATGTGTATATATATATATATATATATATATATATATATAATATACAATTATTATAAATATTATATTAAATATTTCAAATATATTTTCAAAATAAGATGTAGAATAAATTTTATAATGATTAAATAAATTAAATATAAAATGATAAAATAAATTATTATCGCAAAAATAAATGAGCAGCGTTATTTTCAAAAACAAATTAAATAAATTCTAAACTAACCATAGGATTGCTTCGCGATAACTCGATGCGTTCCTGAGCCTCCTCCTCCTCTTTCTTTTTTCTTGTATCTTTTGTTGCTCCTTCATGACATTCACACTCATTCGCGAAAATATAATTAATTATTGCGTATGTGCTAATTAATATAGTACGACAATTACGCGACACTGCACGGCACTCCAAATGTATTAATTGCATGCGACGCACATTTTATTATATTTTCAAAGGAATAATTCGAAAACTATATAATTTGCTCAGCATTGTATAATTAATTGCAAACTTAATAATTAAACGCAATAGATATAAATGCACAATCAGCAGTTTTAATATGATATGATATAATACGACTTGAATTAATTATTAATTTGTCATATCCAAAAATAATCGAAACTCAGTACATATATTATATTTCGTATATATAAAATGATGCAAAATTATATAAATGATATATCTCGGCTTTCCATTATTCGATATATATTACCTTGTTTTTTCAATTTGAGATGAATGTGCGCGGATTATATTTAAATCGAAAAATATTTATTTACACATTTTAAAAGCGAAAAATTTAAATAGAGATGCCATGTATTTAAATTCAAGGATTAAATAAATAATTATCATATATATATATATATTAAATTTGGAATAAAACAATAATTTATATTTGTAATAAAAAAAACAATAATTTATATTTTTTTTATTGATATATTAAACGGAAATTAATTAATCACGTAAATTGATAATATTTAATTGTATTTACTTTAAGAAATATATATATATATATATATATATATATATATATATATAATCACACTTGGAGCATCTCCTAATAATACTTGTTGCAATCGTATTTAAAGACATATTAAAACAACTATTTAATTATTATAACTAATGCGATTATCAAACTTGCGTAATTGATAAATTATATCACTTATAAACGTATAGATAGATAATTTAATTTGTCGATAAAATATTTGTCGTAAAATAAATTTATAGGAAATTTTATTCTTTTATATTAAATATTAATTAACGATTAATGTCATGCTAGATTGATGTTATATACGTAATTACGATTTTTCGTTTAATTTGATTTACGATTTATGTGTCATTATACGCTCTCAATCCGAAAATGACAAATAACGTTTGTTGGTCAACAACATAAAACTGATAAATAGCGACTATTATGATATACATACAAACCTTTCATTGCGAGAATTAATAAATCATGCGAATAGATAATTACAATAATTAACCATATAATAAGATAATAATATTTTACAAGTATAATGCAACGAATCAAAGTGATAGAGAATTATAAATTATATTATTGTGATATTTTTTTCGAGCGACAATTATTTCTTTAAATATACTTGGAGAGAGAAGATTCGAATATATTTTGTATTTCGGATTTTGAATTCTTTTTAAAATCCTAATCATTTACGTTTAATTAATATACGATTAAGAAATATACAAATCGCATCGTGTAATTAAAATAGTGAAGAGTCAGTAATCGCACACATCAACATTGATGTATCAATTATTGATTAATAATTAATACAATATTCAAAGAATAGAATATTTTTATAAATCTATTTTATAGCACGTTAAATATTTCGTCGTAATAAATTGATGTCACGCGATATTTGACCTTCGCGTTTCGCAGCGTACAGAGCTCTGTTGACCTGACCTTGTCATTTACGTCGCGAATAGAAAAGACAATTACGCGAATCTTTCCGTACGTCGTAGAAATTACTCTTCGAAATGTGAGATTGTTTTTTATAATTTCTACAATTAATGATTCACAAAATTTCACTCGAATAATTCCTATGATTAATAATTCATAATCGCATAGTAGTAAAAGATTACACATATATAAATATATTGTTTTACACTCTGATATTAATAATTATTTCTTTATATGCTTAGATTTTTTAATATATCTTGCATCGTGCTTTGAACTTTTTATCAATTTTTCAATCTAGCTTTATTATAATCATAAAGAGTACTAAACAATATGTATCATCGAACAGTTTAAATAACGGAAAACAGGTATTTACATACTCAAACTGTTAAAATATGTATTTCACGAGATTTATTTGATCGAGGTCTGTTGTGTAAATAATCGGCAAATTTTAAATATTATACAATTCGCGGAGAAATATTTTTATTTTAAAAATTTTAACTTATATATATTTATTCATTTATATATATATATATATATATATATATATATATATATTGTTTTGATATGAGATAATAGAATCTTTTAAAGTGCGAATACATGTTATTTATTAAAAAATAGAGGTAATATTGATATGTATTATATGAATTCAGTCGAAATGTTAAGCAACCATCGAAATTTCGTCATAATATAATGACATACGCGTTTTATAAACTAGAGTGTTGTGCAAAGTATCGCGTGAATTAACTGTGTTTTCATCAAATATTATGTAACAACGACGAGAACGAACAAGAGAGGAGGAAGAAACGGCCTCAGGCAACAATAAAATAACCGGGGTAAGCAATTTATAATTTATCTATAATTTAGTAGTTGTTTGTGAAATTAATTAGTTGTGTTTGCGAGTGTAATTTAGTTTATTTATACTCTCAAAGTTATATAAAGTATGTTAAATTGTATTTTGGAATATTTAAGAAATTGTTAAATACAGGAATTAGCTCATGAAGTTTTTTTAAAAATACATACGTATATACGTAATAAAAAATTTTTCTACGATGTTTTTTTTTCTACGAGAAATTAATCTCGCGTGAAATTGCTCACGCTGTGATAAGTGTTCTCTTTTTTTTTCTCGAATTTATTTTTTCTGCGGTATATCTTTGTGTTCTTAAGCAAGGACGTCATTCATAATATTTAAAGTATTATTATTTAA